CCCATCTATTGAATGAGGTTTTGTTGGGATAAAATTAAAGTGCTTATCTTTGAATTTGCTTCCTCTGGTTGAGTTGGCACAGTACATTGAACGAAGGAATGTTCCAAGTTCAGAGGTGGCATTGGGGAATCTAGTTAAAATGACATCAAAGGCAGCACAGCGGGGCTGAACATGTGTTTGAAGCCGGATAGATTAGAGGCCATTATCAGCCTTTCGCTACTGTGCTGGGAACAAAAGTCGCTCTTTCCGCTGGGACTGCTGCTGGGGAGAATTTAGAAAAAAAAAAGGAGAGAGAAAGAAAGAAAAATTGCACTTTCTAATAGAATGCTGCTCTCCCCACGAATGGCCGCGCGGCCTTAGCGTGCGAGTTGTGTTCTGGCGCTCGGGTTTTGTGCAGTGGTTAAGCCGAAATGTTGTCTATTGATGCCGACCAGCGATGGCTAGAATAATCCCCCTGGTTTTTATTTCTTCTCTGAAAACTGCCAGTTGTTTCGTTGCCATCCAGTCTAGAAAAAGCCGTGTCGCGACGTGATCAAACTCTTCAACCGTTGCGACTGTTAAGTTCAAATGGAGGTTTGTCATTAAAGAAAGGGAAGCCTAAGAAGTGGACAGAGGGAATGGTCATAAGCTGAGAGAGGGGAGATTCAGATTAGATATTAGTAAAGAATTTTTCACTCTTAGGGTGTTCAGGCACTGGAATAGGTTTGCCCAGGGAGGTGGTGGAGTCACCATCCCTGGAAGTGTGTAAGAGGCATCTAGATCTGGTGCTGGAGGATTTGGTTTAGGGTTTAGGGGTTACAACAGTGACAGGTTAATGGTTGGACTTGATTATTTTAGAGGTCTCCTCCAACCTTGATGATTCTGTGATTCCAGTGAACACTGTCACAGTTGCCTGTCAGTAGAGCAGTGCATGGGGAAATGGGGCTGGTCCTGAACTGTGTCGCTGCAGTGCAGCAAGGTGATGCTCCCAGCATACTCCTCCTCCTCCCACATTACCTGCAGCCACTAGCCAGAGCTGTAATTAGCCTGGCTCATTCTGTCCTCTCGTTTGCCTTCCTGCTAAAAAGCACTTGTCATTAATCATGGCTTTTATTGTATTTTAATGGCATTTCATTTTGAATGCCTGAATTACTGCATGAAATTACATTCTTCTGGTGTCATTTGGTGATGATTCTGCCCACACCCACAGTTCCAGGTAGCCAATGGGGCAGCCAGCACGGTCAGAATGGGAATGAGAGCTGGTGGTGGCCATCCTCTCACAGCCTGGTGCTTGTAGCTTGGAAAGTTTGCAGGCAAAACACCCCAGTAAATTGTGTCTCACCTGCCAAATGGCAACTTGACTTTAAAAATCTGCGGGTGAAACTGTTTGGTTTATGTTCTGGAGAAGCAGCTGGGGAGAGGGGTAGGTGCTAAGGACATTTGGCTTGTGCAAACATCTTGTTGTGGGATGCGTTGGGCTCATTTGCACAGCTCAGAGGGGTGTGGGGCTGGCAGGAGATGGTGCCTGTGCACAGAAGTTGTTTGGTGCTGGGGACGAACCAAATCCCTCCGTTCGTTCCCACCTACCTCTGTGGCGTTGCACAGGCTTCCCAAGCATTTACTTCTACTGAATCAGGGAAACATGTTAAGACAAAAAAAGGAAAGCTCCAAATTGCTAAGCTCCAGGCTGGCATTTGGTTTGGATTCATTGATTTTTCCCCACATAACCTGATGTCACCAGGAGGGTGAGTTAGAGGCACAAACCCAAGTGAAGCTGGTTCAGTTGGGTGTCGCTGCCCATGGCATCACTTCCTAACCTTGTCCAGCCTCCTCTGTGGAGAGGGCTGTGTTCTTCCCCACAGGAACTCCAGTATCAAGTCCATAATTTCAGACTGAGCTAGAGATCACCTTGAGAGCAGTGGAGCCTACCTCCTTGCTTTGATAAGCCACTTGAGAAGCTGTCATGCTCTCTTAAAAATATATACCTCATTCCCTGACCAAGTTTCCCTTGGAGTAGATGCTCACTGAGCTCCCACTCCTCCTTCTCCCCCCTCTCCTACTCTGCCCTGTGGTTTAATGTGTATGTTACAGGCTCTTTATAGAAAGCAACCAACTATAAAAGGTACCAGGATATGCTCCAAGTCCTTCTCCCTGCCCTCTGCCTAGGGCAGCAGTTGCAGGAGCCCTACCTTGCTCTGTTCCTGGTGGATGCCGTGTAAGCCTCCCTAGCCCTCAGTGCCAGGGTGTTGTTGGGGCATGGATTTCCCTTGCTCTGGGCATGCAAAGCCTTCCTCAAGAGTGAAGGGGTTTCCTACCTGCCACTCTGTGTCTGTGATGCTCAAGTGAAGGAAGTGCACCAGAGAAAGGCACTAAAGCAGAACATGTTGTTGTTTGTTCCGGCAGAGATGGGATCCCGCCGTACAGACTCCGAAAGCAGCATCGCAGAGAGATGCAAGAAAGTGCCAAAGCAAATGGACGTGTGCCACTACCTCACATTCCTGTAAGTAGCACAATCTCCTTCCCAGAGGTAAATATGCAAAATATGTGAGATGTCTAAGTCTACAGTTGCTCTGCCTGTGCTCGAGTTTAACCCCCGTTAGTGCTGGATTCATTTGGGGATGCTTGAAGATAGACATACACCAGGCTTAGAAATGGTGTAGCAGCCTTCTGCCAAACTCACCATCCAGGGCTGCCCAAAATGCCTGATTTTTCTTAGCCATTGAGTCAGTAACCAGTTGTTTTCTGCTGGGTGAGAATGGGAGCACTGGCTGACATTTATCTGCAGGCAGGTTACATGCCCTCGGGTGAGCTGGAAGTGTTTGTGGAGGATGTAGGAGGCTATTGGACATGGAGGCTGATGTAGGTCTTGGTCAAGGTCAGCTGGGGAGAAAGGCAATGGTCCCCAGCAGTATTTCTGCACTGGGCAGCCAAGGGGAGATGTAACCTGTTCTCAAGAACTCGGCAAAGTTCACCAGGGGATGCGAGGCAGGGGAGCAAAGAAGGTGCAGGCGTAAGTATTTTGTTTGTCTCCTTTGGTGCTCCAGGTAAGCAAACAGCTTTTGGAAGATGAACACAACTGCTAGGGCTCTGCATCCCCATCTGCAGCTCTGCTTATTATTGTTTTCTTTTTGTGAGGAGTTACAGGTGACATTTAATATCTAGCAGAGAATAAAGGTACTTCTTTCCCCTTTGGACAGCTGGACTCCAGCACAAATCAAATAGAGAGAAAAAAAGCCTCCATCTGTTTTTTTCCAGAAGTGCCTTCAAACTTGACGCAGCTGTTCTCGTCCTGCTTGCTCAAAGCAGCACAATACCAGCAGAAATACACCCTTGTTTTAATCTGATTTAAAAAAAAAAAAAAAAGAAAAAACCACACCAAAACCACCACTCTTTGTTTTGTCTTTTAAATTAGATTATTTTCCTTAGATTTAAGAGGGTCTCCTGTGCTTTGATCACTGGGTTGACAATAAAAGCCCTGGCTGCGGACGCTCATAGCCATCCTTGCTCAGTCACCTCTCTTTTCACACAGTTGCTTTCACAGTGTGGTTGCTGTTGAAAAGGCTGGCTGGGTGCCTTTTTATTTCACTTGATGCCGTTTTTACTGTAAGCATGGCTTTGTTAGAGTTGAAGTTTGAAAGCTTGGCCTTTATTTTTTGTTGTTATTGTTGTTGCTGTTCCCCAGCAGTGGGAACTACTGAGTGAATATTCTCTGACTTCAAAGCTTGTCAGTGGCTTTACCTTTTGGATAAAAATAATAGTGGCTTTCTGTTGATGGTGTGCACTGGCAATGCCTCGATGAACTGCAGGTTATAAACTCAGAGTATGGAGCATTAAATATGTATAGTGAGCTCTGCTTTAACGAACTTCCATCTGCCAAACATTTCTTTTGTTGAACTGAATAAGTGTCATTCCAGCAGCAGTTCCTTGCAGGCTAATTAGTTTTACTTAACATTAAATTTTATCGACCTTTTTGGAAACCAGTTTTAAAAAGGGGGGAAAAAACAAGGTTTAAATTGGCCACCTGCTGCTTATAAATTTTTATATTATCCTACTTACCTACACAGTCTTTTAGAATTACATATTCCTCCTAAAGTACACACAGATGCTTCACAAGGATTTTTCTGTGAAACATCCACTGTTCCCATTAGGTTCTGCACTGTAATTTTAAGACCCAGGGAAAAAGGCATCTTGACACATATTTATATGGGAGCACAGGACTGAGAAGTCGAGTTAGTTCTAGTCTTTCTCCAGGGAATAAAAGTTTAGTTCAGACACTCTGGCACCTTCTGCTAGCCAATTACTGACACAGAATTGGCATCGACTTCAGAGCCGCACTGCTCTGCCCTCGCTTATCAATCAGCCAAGAAAGGAGGAGGTAATTAGACAATGTGTTTTGACAACACCAGTGTGAAATGTTATAAAGTTACTCTTTAAAATTCACCTCTAACTGCACACTTATTGAATTAAACCGCCCCAATTAGCAAGGAGCCATGCAAATGTTTCTCCCAAGTGTTGCTTTGCAAAGGCAGCGGTTGGGCCGTCCCACAGCCCCTGGCTAAAGCTGGCTGGACCCAGGGGTGAGCTGCTTTTAAACCTGCAGCAATGATGAAATCACAACCTTTGAGTGAAGGTCTTTATGGACCCATATCTACCCAGCATAGCCAGAGTCCATGCTGATAG